ATCAATTTTTGAGGCCAGAATGTTAGAAGAGTCACACAAAGTTGTTTTAAATAATCTTGGCATGAGTTTAAAACTTGAGGAAAAGTATGGAGAGTGCATATGTTGAGTTCTAAGTATTGATATAAACCACTGTTATTGGGGTGATGCTTAAGTATATTTTGAAAGGTATTTCTTGCCTATGCGCTTAATTTTAAGCTGCTCGAGGACGAGCAAAAGTTTAAGTGTGGGTGGTGATAAATGATGAAAAGTGCATATTTTTGTGTATATTTGCATATTAATTCTTGTATGAGTTGTGAGAGTTTATGTGGTTTATGAAGTGAAATATGTACATTATGTGTTTCTTATATGTAGGAGTGAGTTTGGATGATAAATGATGAAAATATGACAATTTGACATAAAAAGGAAGAGATGGAAAGAATTGGGAGCTCATCCAATCTCGTGCGGGGCATGAAAATGGACGTGAAAAAGGAGAAAACTGAAGGCACAAAACAGAGAAGTGAAGCGAAGGCACGGATCGCTTCGTGAACTGGCAAAATTTCACAAGTTGAATCCTCGTCCATGGGCGCGCGACGCGCGAAGGCAGACACGCCCTCCAGTTCTCCTATCCGATTTTGGATTGCCTTGGACGACCCTCTACCCTACCTAGGTCATATAAATACATCCTAAAACGTCATTTTGTGGGGGGCCGCAATTTTGGAGGGGGAGACACTACTTTAGTGTTACACAACACCTTTGGAGGCAAGAATACACTAGGAGCAAGGAGGAAGATTCAACCATGAGTTTTTCCTTTCTTCTTCCTATTTTCTATTGTTGGTTATGAATTTTAGTATTGTATTTTCACATACTACTATGAGTAGCTAATTTATTATGTAGGGNATTGGTTATGAATTTTAGTATTCTATTTTCACATACTACTATGGGTAGCTAATTTATTATTTAGGGTTTTGATGGAACCTTTTGGAGGATGAATTCTTGTTAAGTTTCAATATAATTTAGCCTTTGAATTTCTTTACTTGTTCGACTACATGCTTATTTCTGTTGATTGAATGGCAATCAATTGACTGTGCCTATTTATTATGTATTGCGTGGGAAAGGGTACATATTTAGGTAGTTATTGAACAACGTCACTCTTAACACATATGAGGAATCAATACGACACGTTTAAAGGTGGATTTAGGAATAACAAAGCCTTGACGTGGTCAGAGTGAGCGGTAAGATTGTGCCAGCTAGCATAGTTCGGGAGATTATGTCTAGTAAATTGTTGTAGTTGCTCGGGAGAGAATTACGACACCTGAAGTGCCATTATCAGTAGAGAATAATTAGGTAAAATTATAGGAGACGTAGCGGGAAGGATTCCGACAATTGGGGAATCAGCATGCTATGTTCCAACTCCAGACAAAAGGTAGGGCCTGATGTCTTGATCTAATATGGACTAAAGATATCAATATATACTTTGACAATTAGTTGGAAGACAAAACCATGTTACTTCAGATGCTATTATCTTCCAGGGGTGCCCACAGAATAACTCTTCACCTCTGATTAACAGAATTCTCTTAGATCTCATTTGTTTGCACTTAATGGAGGTATGAATCTTAATCAATCAGATCTTAGACATAAAGTGCGTTTGTATTTAAAGTCCGAATCTTAATTATTCAGATCTTAATCATTAAGTATATTTATTTTTTTTTACTTCACAACCACTTAATGAGTCTGAATAGGTCTGTATGATTAAGATCCATAACAGAGACTTAATTTCATTAAGATGCTATCATCCATATTCATTATTAGTTGTCGCTATCGCCTATCATTATCAACTGCCACCATGCCGCCACCACCACCACCACCATATCCAACCACCATCATCCTCAATCATAGTCGCCACTATAATCGACTATCACCACCCGCCATCCACACTACTCCCACCACCATCATTCTCAATCACAAACGCCCATCCACCTCAACTATCACAACTAACCACTCCATCACCATCAATAATCATAACCGGCACTACCCATCATTATAAACTACCATCACCCACCGCCACCTTCCTCAATCACAACTACCATCACCACCCGTCATTATTAACTATCACCACTCACCACCACCATCCTCAATCATAATCACCACCACTACTAATTACCACTAGTTACTACCCTGAACTACCACCATCAACCAAACTTACCACCAACCACCGCCTCTAGTTGGCATTCACAAGCACCACTGTTAGCCATCACTACCATCAACTACTATATTTTAAAAAAATTATATATTTTATTGATAAAATATTAGATTAATTAGTATTTCATTTGAATTTTATGTTTATTAATTTTCAAATAAAGATAAATTTTATACATTCAGATATTAAAAATCAAGCAGTCTTAATCATTTAGTATTCAGATCTTAATACACATCTTAATATTCAGATGTGTATTCAGATTTAGATGTCTTAATCTTAATACACATCTTGATATTCAGATGTGTATTCAGATTCACGCGTCTTGATCTTAAAAAAACAAAAAACAAATGAGGCCTTAGTTACCATTGTCCTGTATAAACACTTTCAAGAAGGTGTTTACCACCACCACTCTTAGCAAAACTTCAAAGTATTCAAAGCTTTCTCTGCTTCTGAGGTCTTCAGTAATTTCTTCTTTCATATCTCATCTGTACTTAACCGGAAGTCTTCTGCAGTTGGAGATGTTCCAAAGGGTCATTTTGCTGTTTATGTTGGGGAGGAGCAGAAGAAGAGATTTGTAATCCCTATATCATTCTTGAATCAACCTTTATTTCAAGACTTGCTCGGTCAAGCTGAGGAAGAATTTGGCAATTCGATCATCCAATGGGTGGCCTCACAATTCCCTGCAGAGAGGACATATTCATTGACCTTACTTCCCGATTAAGGAACTGAAAAAAGAAACTTTCACAATTTGTAGAGTAGTAAAGCAGGATATGTATTCTGTATAGAAAAAATAATTTTTTTATGTTAGAATGAGGTGGTAAATAGTTATCACTGTCAGATTAGGTAGATTAGTGAACTTTAACTCCACAAAGACTGATTGTTAGTCCATGTCAAAGAATCATTTTCTACTTTAGGAGCTCCTGGCAAGGCAAGCTGCAACACAAGTTAACGGTGTCCACTTGCCAAGCTGTCAGCAGTAATTTGTCTAGCATTTCTGAGACCTCCACTTTTAAATTTTATCCAAGAGTTAAGATTAGCCACACATATTTTGGATTAAGTTCAGGACCAAGTTTGGAAGCACCTGCAGGAACATCCCACTTCCCTTTGTTCTATTGGTATGTGGTGATGGAGAAATCCATATATATATATTGAAAAATAAATGCTTACTAAAACACTAAGTTAAAGGTAGGGCCTATTGTCTTGAACCAATGTGACCTAGAGTCATCAATACTTTGGCAATGAATAGAAAAGCAAAACCACGTTACTTCAGGTGCTATTGTCTTCAGCTTGTACCCACAGAATAACTCCTCACCACTGATTAACAGGATAATAAGAGTTGCCATTGTCCTATATAAACACTTTCAGGAAGGTGTCTACAGCCACAACTCTCAGCAAAACTTAAAAGTATTCAAAGCTTTTCTCTGATTTTGAGGTCTTTAGTAGTCCATTCTTTCTTTCCTCGCCTATACTAAAGCTAAAAGAATCATGGCTATTCGTATGCCTCGTATAATCAAGAAGTCTTCCACATCTGCAGATGTTCCCAAGGGATATTTTGCTGTGTATGTAGGTGAGAAGCAAAAGAAGAGATTTGTTATCCCCATATCATTCTTGAGCCAACCTTTATTTCAAGACTTGCTTAGTCAAGCTGAGGAAGAATTTGGCTTCGAACATCCAATGGGCGGTCTCACAATTCCCTGCAGAGAGGACGTCTTTATCGACCTTACTTCTCGTTTGAGGAACTGAGCCAGAAACTTGTTTTCACAATTTTGTAGAGCAGTAAAGCAGGATTTGCACAGTTTGTATAGTTGAAGAGTAGTTAGAGAAGGCTGTAGTTAATGTTAGGATGAGAAATGTTAGTGAACTTAAGTCATGTCAAAGAGATGAATGACTCTTTACTTTTTTCTACTTCAAAGATATTGAAGTACTGAATTTTTTCCACTTGATGGTTCCATTCATTTAGCATTGGTATTTCTTGTGCTTGTGATTCCGTATACTCAAGTCCCGTGTTTGGAAAAAGATTTGCTTTCCTAAGATATTCCCAAACCACTAGTTAACAATGTGCTTGAATGCATTTCTGACTTTTAAGTCACAGGTGAATATATGTAGTTAATCCAATTTATAAAAGGATGAATCTCTTTATTCGTAATTCATCAGTTCCAAACAGACCTTCATATGATCGTATTTTCTCTAATAGTTTAAGCTTATAGATGAGATTGTCACATAATTCACCAGTTCCAAACATACCTTCACCAAGTAATATCTTCTAGCATCTATTTTTCTTCTTCTGATTAGATTCATACACTATTTACCATGCTAAAATTCAGATATGTATCTTTAGTCCAAGGAGATCAATGACTAAATCATTTGGTCTCAAATTATTAGTACAGCACAAGGACATATAAGGAAAAGTCATATGATCCTTCATATGCTACTGTCTTTCATAGGCATCAACCAAACCATCTATCACCACCTATTTTGGGATTTTTTGAGAACCATAATCAGAAGCTTCATGCTAGTTTTCCTATCAACAGTGTTTTTAAATTCTCAATTACTATCATTTTTATTGGGACATTCTCGCCAAAACTAGAGTCTAATTAAGTTTATCAGTATAATTTTGTTCTCTCTATGTCTCTATTACCTCTTCATTATAAGAATTGAGGCTTCAAATACAAGTAAAATGAACTGTTTTCAACCCTCGGGGGCTAATAATGATTACTGAAAAGAAATTGGAGAACCCCCCATACTTTGGATCAAGGTCTAGGCCTAAGCTAAGAAGCACTTGGAAGTTGGAAAGTAGGGTGATAGAAGATTATTTTATTTCCTCAAGGATAATACTTACAACAAAACCATGTTAACATCTACTAATTTTCGGGGATGTGTATCTAGACATAATTAATCACATGGTAGTACAATTCCTCTTTAGCAAGTTGATTTTGAAGGATACTCTTGTTCCAGGTTCAATGAAAAGGTAGGACCTGTTGTCCATGAATTAAGGCCTAATGTTAATTTGCACTAAGTTTGGACAAAGCTAGGAAGCACTTGGCCGAGTGGTACAGGCATGAATAGCTCAAGGCTTCATCTATGCTTTGAAGAAAAGGTAGGGCCTATTGTTCTTGAACTAATAGTGCAAAGTTATTAATAATTGGAAGACAAAAGCATGTGATACTTCAGTGACATTGTCTTCTGCTGGTGTCCACAAATTCCTATTCAACACATATCAGCTGTGTTCTATGAATTGCCATTGCCTATATAAACATATTCAAAGAGGTGTAGCTCTCACCAAACTTGAAAGTATTGAAAGTTTTCTCTGCTTTTGAGTTCTTTAGTAATTCTTTCTTTCTTACTAAAACTAAAAGACCATGGCAATTCTTCGTATGATCAAGAAGTCTTCGACAAGTGGAGATGTTCCCAAGGGCCACTTTGCTGTGTATGTTGGGGAGAAGCAAAAGAAGAGAGTTGTAATACCTATATCATTTTTGAGTCAACCGGCATTTCAAAACTTGCTTAGTCAAGCTGAGGAAGAATTTGGCTTTGATCATCCAATGGGTGGTCTCACAATTCCATGCAGTGAAGACTTTTTCGTTGATCTCACATCTCGCTTGAGGAAGTGACAAGGAAATTAGCCCCCTTTTTTTGCTTACACAATTTTGTAAAGCTATAAAGCAGGATCTCCACTGTGTACAGTTCAGGCGAGGAAGAAATACTAGTTAGATTTAATGAGTTTAGCTACATAAAGAATGGATGTCATTCTTTTGTCTCTTGACTAAGGACACATTTTTCTACTTCAATAGAAATTGAAGAATGAACCTTTTTACTTCTATTGCTCCATTCTATTTCCATATATTGATGTAATCAATTCATAGCAGTAGAATTTTTTTTTCTCAACTCTCATGGTTTACTTATAATCAGAATGAACTAGAATCTAGTCTTCTAAAGTGGCATAACCCCTTCAGTTAATGACATTATGATCACTACCATGTTGATAAAATGATAACCCAATATGTACTAGAGCTGCAGCATTGTGGAAGTACTGAGTGCAACTGAATGCAACAGAAAATGAATGCAAAAATTTTCTCTTAATAAGAATAATATCAGTAATTTTCTTGAATATTTACTCAAATTTCTGGCATTAATAAGGTTATGACTCATAATTTAATGAATATCTGCATAACATAGACACAGACATGTTGATAGCCAGTAAAAAAAATTTGTTCTCTACGATTAGTGAAACATTTCACAAAATCTGCTGAAATAATTTAGGTAATTCTGATATGGAAAGTTGATCCTACATAATGACTTAGCATGAGGGACCAAACAAGTTGTTAGATATTGCAGTAAATTTATTTGTAATTGCAGACCAAGTGGTCCAGACCTGAATCATAACAAGACAATTACCTGTTATTATCAGTCTGATCTCGAAAGATCCTGTATTGACAATTACTCAATGTTATCAAGTTGATTTCTAAAGATCCTGTGTTCTCGATCTTTTCATGAAAAACAGTAGGGCAGCAATGGTATATGTATTTGACAATGAGTTGGAAAACAAAACCATGTGATACTTCATCTGCTATTGTCAATCAACAGTGCAACAAATGCCTCTCCACCAGTGAAATCGTACATATGATTGACTTGTTTGCTCTTAATATTCTTATATAAATGGACACATAGTTTCCATCTGGGGTATGTTTTGGTCCAATGAATCATCATATGGCACCACATCATATTTATGGATTTGATTCTAAGAAATCCTTTGTTCCATGTAGGAGAAAAATGTAGGACCTATTGTTCTTGAACTTATATTAGCTGAAGTAATAAATAATGTCAATTAGTTGGACGACAGGACCATGTGGTTATGGATATGTCATTGTCTTCCACTGATGCCCAACCCAAATGGCTCTTCACCACAAGTCATGAGATTTTACGACTTTCCATTTGCTTATATAAACATGTTTTGAGAAGTTCCACACCACCACAGCTATCCACAAAACTAGAGAACTACTCAAAATTTCTCTTCATCCTTTACTCATCTTAAATAAAAGATCATGGCTATCCGTATGCTTCGTATTATCAAGAAGTCTTCTACAACTGGAGATGTTCCCAAGGGATATTTTGCTGTTTATGTTGGAGAGAAGCAGAAGAAGAGATTTGTGATTCCCATATCATTCTTAAGTCAACCGACATTTCAAGATTTGCTTAGTCAAGCTGAGGAAGAATTTGGCTTCGATCATCCAATGGGTGGTGTCACAATTCCCTGCTCAGAGGACATCTTCATTGGCATCACTTCTCAGTTTAGGATATAAGAATATAATTGAGAATCATCTTTCCGTTTATAGGTCTCACAATTTTGTATACGAAAGCAGGAGATCTGTTTTGTACAGTTGATTAGTTATTAGAAGTTAAGTGATGAGGCTTAGCACCAAAAAAATTGGTGTTTTTTAACTCAAAAAGACTCTAATTCAAAGAGTAGAGACACAACATTAATTGTTTTCTCTTGCTACAAATTTATCCGAAAGAGATTTTTCTTAAATGGATGAACAATTTAGCTTATATACTTGGCCAAGATATAACTTTGAATTATTGATATGTGGGATACAAGTTGGATATTTTGCTCTTTGAATTTTTTGAGAGGTGCGAGTGGAGGAGGTTGTAAAAGAATTTAATTGTTTTTGAGAGTGTGAGTGATGGGTTTTACTAAAGATAGACTCTCATACTGAACTCGTACATTAATCCAAAATCTTTAAAGCAGGAGTAGCTCAAAATCTTTAGTGAGCAATTCCTAACAACAACCTTACGACGCTAATCAGCTTCTTCAAGATCCTTAGCCCAAAAAATCCCTTTACTTTTATAAACCATTTTTTTCCTCCATTTTTGCCAAAATAAGTTCCATGCTCTTGCTCTCCATCACTTCTCTTCCGTGCATTCAAATGGTGTTCGAAATGTCAACTTTGGGCTAAGTGATTCACGCCCTTTTACATGAATATTCTGGTTTGCTTTTAAGCGTGTATGTGTGCTCTGCTTTGGTTGATTTGTATGCCAAGTCATTGTTTACCTAGAGTGCCGCCATGTTGTTCGATGAAATTCCTGTGAAGAACACTGCTCTGAATTTCTTAACAATGCAAAACCATTTGTAAGGGTACAGTTTAATCAACTCCCCATCTAAAAAATTTGCTATTATCAGGACCAATAGATTATTAACTTTTCTGTTTTCTCCTTTGAACCAGCCTTCCTTTCCCGAGCTTATACAAAATGTAAAACAATACCAGGGGAAAAGACATCACCATTCATTTCCATGCTGATGTTCATTTATCAGCCAGACCATCTTGTGAGTTGCTCTTCTGATTTACAGCTATGCCTTCTAATACAGTATACTCCCCCGTCCACTTTTATGTGATAATGTTTGACTTAGCACGGAGTTTAAGAGAAAGAAAGAAATACTTTTGAAACTTGAGTTCTAAAACAAGCCATAGAGATTTGTGTGGTTATAAATCATATCTTTAAGGTTAAGACGAGAAGTTTAAAGTTGAATTGTTTCTAAATATAGAAAAATATCATTCTTTTTGGGATCGATTAAAAAAGAACGTGTGCCGCATAAAATGGGACAGAGGAAGTAATGAATAAACTACCCGATGCTAGGATCAAACAATTTAGAAGTTTTGATTACTTAAACACTAGACCAAGAATTGAAATAGTCATGTACTTGCCTAAATCAATATCTTAGCTTGCTACTTCTTGTTGGTTCTGCTCTTCACATAAACTGTAAAGAGTTGATGCTTTGGTGTAGTTGATTAACTTATCATTTGACACTATAGCTAGAGGAGGAATTAGGCTCTCCATGCACTAAGAAGCATGTTGTTCTCGAGTCACCTGATGAGCATTCAGAGGCTATTTCTCTCCTGTCCAGAACTCGTTTTAGTTTTACTGTACATTTTGAGGTCTTTGTACCTAGTACCATGCAGGCCTAGCTCTGGCTATGAAGTGCTGTTCAAAGTCAACTTGTTGTGGTTTATATAATCTGATCAAATATTGATTTTCTTGACAAATTTAAGCCAGCATGTTGTTTTTGTGGATTAGTACCAGTCTATATCATAATTGCTCTGGCTGTCCATAAGCTTCTGCATTCTTCTCTTTGCTTGTTTCCTACAAAATTACAGCTGAGGTCCACCCATGCTCAGCATTGGCTCAACAAAAGTAGTTGGTTTTGTTTTTCTTTGACCAGAAACATGGCATGACCTTCTTATTGATAAATGAAACTGGAGAAATATTCTAACCTTATCCAATTCTCTATTATTTCCATTACTAATCATCACAATTTGACCGTTTTTAAGTGATCTCGAAGCCTTTAACTGCAGCACCACTTGGTACCAAAAGAGTAAGACAGTAGTTTTTTGTCATAAGAACCAACTTGTGTCCTGTGCCACTGCTTTAGCAATATGGATGATCAGATTTTTGTCTAAAATTCTCAGGATATGCCCTTATAGATTCGCGTTTGATGATCAATCATTGGAATTCTGACTACAACTTATTGATTTAACTTCAAGAAATGGCTAGAGGTGGTCCCTAACTAAACCATTTTTCAAGAAGATGAGGTTTCCATATGTTCTTTGTTGTGAAGATCAGGGGGACCCTCTTCTTTTAGACTAGTCTTAATATATTTTATTGTATGACAATGATTTGGAAGGCAAAACCATGTCTTACTTGAGGTGCTATTGTTTTTAGCTGGTGCCCACAAAATACTATTCAATGCACATCATTAGGACTCTACAACTTGTCATTGGCCTATATACACATATACAAAGAAGGGTTTACCATAACAGCTCTCACCAAAACTTGAAACCATACAAAGCTTTTCTCTGCTTTCAGGGTCCTTTTTTGACAAGTACTTTCAGGGTCCTTACTAATTCTCCCCTTTCTTAATTTCTCATCTGTATTGAACTTAACGACCATGGCTATCTGTATGCCTCGTATAATGAAGAAGTCTTCTACAGCTGGAGATGTTCCAAAAGGACACTTTGCAGTGTATGTTGGAGAGAAGCAGAAGAAGAGATTTGTGATCCCTATATCATTCTTGAGCCAACCTTCATTTCAAGACTTGCTAAGTCAAGCAGAGGAAGAATTTGGCTTTGATCATCCAATGGGTGGTGTCACAATTCCTTGCTCAGAGGACATCTTCATTGGCATAACTTCCCAGTTTAGGATTTAAGTATATAGTTTAGATCATTTTTCCTTTTTAGACCTCACAATTTTGTATATCAAAGTAGGATATCCATCTTGTATAGTTGAAGTTGGTTAATTAGAAGCTATGTAAAGCTTAGCACCACAAAAATTGGCGCTTTTTGACTCACAAAGACACTAATTCAAAGAATACAGATACAACATTCTTTTCTCTCACTTAATGCATCCGAAAGAAATTTATCTTGCGGTGCTGAAAAATTCAGCTTATCCACTTCGCCAATATATAAGATAGAGTTTTCTGTGTTCTAACTGTGTATAAGATATTTATAGAAGTAGGTCACTTACAAGGTATACAAATAAATTTTTATGATTAGTATTTAGTAATTGGTAACCTAATAACCTATTATAATAAACCGTGCTATTAGTGCACAAAATGTTTATGCTATCCGCTGTATATTAGTTAAATCCCTTGAAATATTGCCTGATTTGTTCTTCTTGTCTTCAAAATATCAACTTTGGCATATCCAGAAATTGTTTACGAAGAATGCAGCTGTGTTGTTCGATGAAATTCCTGTAAAGAACACTTCCTTTCAGGCTGCCCTGAAGATAAGATGTGGGTGAGGGGCCTTGCATCGGCGAGGAAGATTTCATTTCCATGCTGATGTTCATTACCAGCCCGTGCATTTTGTGAGTTGCTCTTCTGTTTTAACAAATAAACCGCCCAATGCTAGGACCAAACCATTTAGAAGTTTAGATTACTTAAAACATTAAAATAATCCAAGAATTGAAATAATCATGTACTTGCCTAAATCAATTTCTTAGCTTGCACTGGTTAAAGTTGACGCGTTTGTGTAGTTGCTAAGATTATCATTTGAAATTATAGCTTGAGGATGAATTAGGCTTTCCGTTTGTCTTTGTCTCTTGTATCATACAGGTCATAGCTCTGGCTGTTCATAAATACTTAGAAGTTTGGTATAGGAATTTAGATGGCTAGTAAAGTGCTGTTCAAAGTCAACTTGTTATTAGATTTATATAATTTGATCATTTCAAGGTGCACTGTGTCAATTGATTTTCTTGACAAATTTAAGCCAGCATATCGTTCTTGTACCAGTCTATTATCTTAATTTTCTGACCAGATTAAAGATAAGCTTCTGCGTTTTTCTCTTGCTTGTTTCCTACAAAATTAGTGTTGAGGTTCCACCAATGATCATCATTGGCACAATACAAGTAAACACTGGTTGGTTTTGTGTAGCTTTGACCAGAAACATTGCATGGCCTATGACCTTATTATTGATAAATGAAACTGGAGAAATATTCTAACTTTATCCAATTCTCTATTTCCAGTAATAATCATCACAATTTGAAAATTTTATAAGTGTTCTCGAAGTCTTCAACTGCACCACCACTTGGAACCATAAGAGTAGGTAGATTATTTTCATAGGAACCAACTTGTATCCTGGGCCATTGCTTTAATTAACACTATAGATGGTCAAATTTCGTCCAAATTTCTCAGGACATGCCCTCATAGATTCGCATTTGATGATCAATCATTTGAATTCTGACTACAACTTGTTGATTTAACATCAGTGGGACCTTCTGCTTTTAGACTAGTCTCAATGTATAAATAGTATGACAATGAGTTGGAAGACAAAACCATGTGATACTTCAGGTGCTATTGTCTTTAGCTGGTGTCCACAGAATGCCTATGCACATAAGTAGGATTTTCTAACTTGTCATTGGCCTATATAAAGAAGGGTTACAATAACATCATTCAGCAAAACTTAAAATCGTACAAAGCTTTTCTCTCCTTTCAGGGTCCTTACTAATTTTGTTCCTTATTTGCTCATCTATATTGAACTTAACAACCATGGCTATCCGTATGCCTCGTATAATAAAAAAGTCTTCTAAAGCTGGAGATGTTCCGAAGGGTCATTTTGCTGTTTATGTTGGGGAGAAGCAGAAGAAGAGATTTGTAATCCCCATATCGTTCTTGAGTCAACCTTTATTTCAAGACTTGCTTAGTCAAGCTGAAGAAGAATTTGGCTTTGATCATCCAATGGGTGGTCTCACAATTCCTTGCGACGAGGATGTCTTCATTGATCTTATTTCTCACTTGAGTAGGATATGAGGTTTTTCCTTTCACAGTTTTGTAAAGAATAGGATTTCCAGTTTGTACAATAGATGAATTAGGAAAGACACATTGTTTTACCTTATTACTGGAAATTAGATAGAGGGGGCTACTGTCAGCTGCAATAGTAGATCCCAATTTTGAATGTAATTTTCAGTAGCTGATGTCAAAAAGACATACAGCACATTCATTAGCAAATGAAATCTGTTCATATTCACTCTTTAGCCAATTGGATTTTCAGTATTCTTGTTGGATAAATTTCTTTTCAAGACTCTTTCTCCATTATATGGGAATTGGAGCTTCTAATGTGCTAAAAGTCTTTTATAATTAATTCTAAAGGAGACGCTTTATCTGGCACTTATCCAGAACACTGAAAGTTTTTGGCAATGACAACAAAGAAAACTTAATATTTGTAGCAGAATTTTCAAACTATCAAAGAAGTGACATTAATAGACCACACTCCATTAGATATTTCTATTTTCTGCTCTTTTAAGAATAAATCTCTGGTTTGATTTATTAGAATTTCTACTGAACAGCTGAAAAACTTGGATTTTTCTGATCGTGAAGTTAATTAAATCATCAGATTAGAACAACTTATGATATGAGGATAAAAATTGTATCTTATTTTAGTCAGCTTATTTCTAAAAATATTTATTAGTACATCTGTACATATTTTCTGGTGGGTTACCAAATATAGCTATGTAAGTATTCTTATGTTGCTTGTTTTCAGGTTATTAAATCCAAATTCATAAGTTTTTGTGTTTTACATACTTCAAGTATAAAATCTATATACCTCAATTGCATGTTGCCCAGTAGAGTTCTTTATAATTGAAGAGTAACTAGACCAAGCAATTAGAAACGCCTTTTTTGTTCTCTTTTTCTTTATCTTTACTATTCAGGAGCTAAAGTTCACCTTTATCCTCTTTCATTTTTCTCAATTTTTTTTTCGATTTTGCAAAATAAGTTTGTTGCCCAAAGCCTAACACATAATTGAATTCCCAGAATTAGTCAAATTTGTATGTTAGAGATCAGGTGTTTTGTTTGTTATAATATTAGGAAAGAGTTCCTAAACCTCCATATACAAAATAATATATTATCCATATACAAAATTGTGACATTCTTAATAGATGAGGTAAGAGTAGCCAAATATTTTGGATTAAGTTCAGGACCAAGCTAGACAGCACCTGGAAGCTGGAACATCCCACTTTCCTTTGTTCTATTGGTTCTAGTGATGGATATTCCATTTTATTTGAATAAATTCTTACCAGAAAACCATGTTAATGACAAGAAATGTCTAGGTGTATATTTAGACATGAATAATCACTCTAGGATACATCTTTCTTTAGCAATTTGGTTGTGAGGCATATGCTATGTTCCAACTTCAGGGAAAAGGCAGGGCCTGATGTCTTGATCTTAAATAGACTAAATTGAAAATTAGTTGGAAGGCAAAACCATGTTACTTCAGATGCTATTGTATTCCGTGGGTGCCCACGAAATAACTCTTTACCATCAATAGGATTCTCTGAGTTGCCATATGGCCTATATAAACACATTCAAAGAGTGACTACTACCACAGCTCTCAGTTTAAAACATTCAAAGATTATTTTTCTGCTTTAGTAGTTCTTCTTTTACTTCTTTGCTCTTATACATTAAAACTAAAAGATCATGGCTATTCGTATAATCAAGAAGTCTTCCACAAGTGGAGATGTTCCAAAAGGCCATTTTGCTGTGTATGTTGGGGAGAAGCAAAAGAAGAGATTTCTAATCCCCGTATCGTTCTTGAGTCAACCTTTATTTCAAGACTTGCTTAGTCAAGATGAGGAAGAATTTGGCTTTGATCATCCTATGGGTGGTGTCACAATTCCTTGCAGTGAGGATGTGTTCGTTGATCTCACATCTCGCTTGAGGAAGTGAGAAGGAAATTAACCAGTCAACAGGTTTTGCTTACACAATTTGTAAAGCTGTAAAGTAGGATTTCCTGAGTGTACAGTTCAGGAGTTAGAAGAAACAGTAATTTGAAGTTAGAATGAGGAGTGTTACCACCCTCTGACTAGGTAGACTAATGAATTTAGCTCCATATTGAATGGATGTTATTCCTCTATTCTCATGACTAAGGACACATTTTTCTACTTCAATAGAAATTGAAGTAATGAACTTTTTTACTTCTATGGTTCGAATCAATTCCATATATTGATGGAATAATTTATTGCAATATAATAATTCTTGTTCAACTTTCTTGGTTTTGTAAGTGCACCTGAATGCAATAGAAAAAATATTTTGAAGATGTGATAAGAGCTACCATGTTTACCATTTGGCTTTCCAATTACCTGTGGCGCTTAGGAATGTGAAAACATCTTTTTCTTTCAAGCTAAGCTCCCTGCTTACTTGATAACACTCTCCGAATATGTGGTATTCATTTTTAGTTTACTGTTTGATTTCTGTTGTTAATCCTATTTATGGCAAGAACACAGAATGGATGAGTCTGTTTTCTTAAATGAAGCTATCCTACATTATCATTGGTTCAAGAGTTGTTATAATTTTAAGCTTTTCATGTTTCCCAATAATCTTACCCCTGATGCAGATCTGAGCTTGTTGATCGGTTTTGTTTGTTCGTATTTGATTCAACATCTTCAACATCTCCGCTGCTGATTGAAACAAATGTAACTTAATTAACTCTAAGATATAACATCTGTACTCACAATGGAAATTCGGAAACTATAGACATGGGGACAGGTTAATAGTGAGTAAACATTTCTGCCCTCTACTGTTTGGAAAATTTGCTGAAATAACTCCGGTAATCCTAATCAGGAAAGTTGATCCTATATAATGACCTTAGCATGAGGGACCAAACAAGTTGTCAGACATTGCAGTAAATTTATTTCTAATTGCAAAACAAGTGGTACGGACCTGAATAATTACAGGACAATCACCCGTTGTTATCAATTTGATTTCTAAAGATCCTGTGTTTTCTATCATGTCATAAAAATACTCGGGCCTACTGATCATCAGTCACAATGGCCTAAAATCATAAATACTTGACAATGAGTTGGATAGCAAAACCATGTGATACTTCATCTGCTATTGTCAATCAACAGTGCAACAAATGCCTCTTCACCACTGAAATTTGAGATATAATTCACTTGTTTTCTCTTATAGGAGTAGTTCTTACTTAAATTGACACAAAGTTTGTATATGGGGTATGTTTTTGTCCTAATGGATAGTGTTCCAGACACAAATCATCATAAGGGACCATACATTCGTATGCATTTGATTCTATAAAAAAGGTGTAGGACCTATTGTTCTTGAAATTATATGAGCTAAAGTAATTAATCATGTCAATTAGTTGGAAGGCAGGACCATGTGGTTATTGGTATGTCATTGTCTTTCACTGATGCCCAATCCAAATGGCTCTACACCACAAAATCATGATCTTTTACGACTTTCCATTTGCTTATATAAACATGTTTTGAGAAGTTTTACACCACCACAGCTCTCCACAAAACTAGAAAACTACTCAAAGCTTTCAGAATATTAGTATTTCTTCTTTTCATCGTTTGCTCATCTTAAAGAAAAAATCATGGCTATCCGTGTTCCTCGTATAATCAAGAAGTCCTCAACATCCCTTGATGTTCCCAAGGGCTATTTTGCTGTTTATGTTGGGGAGAAGCAGAGGAAGAGATTTGTAATTCCCATAGCATATTTGAGCCAGCCTTTATTTCAAGATTTGCTTAGTCAAGCTGAGGAAGAATTTGGCTTCAATCATCCTATGGGTGGTGTCACAATTCCCTGCTCAGAGGACATCTTCATTGGAATCACTTCTCAGTTTAGGATTTAAGAATATAGTTGAGATCTTTTTTTTAGGTCTCACAATTTTGTATATCATATTAGGAGATCGGCTCTTGTACAGTTGATTAGTTAGGATCTCAATGAGGCATAGCACCACAAACATTGGTTCTTTTGACTCGCAAAGACTAATTCAAAGAATACATATACCACATCCATTTTTCTCACTTAATGTGTCCAAACGAAATTTATCTTGAAATTCTGAATAATTCAGCTTCTACACGTTTCTATGATATAGTGTTGACACTACAAATAACTTTTACACTATGAGTGTATTTTAACTGGTTATATAGCAGATTATTTCGTTGATCTTGTATTTTCCAAGTTAGGATTACTATAGAAAGTCTCATGACTTTAACCTGATGGACAATGGTTTAAGTTTCTCTCTTTCTACTGCTTTATGTTCTTTCACTGGAATCTTTGCATTTGAATTAGGTTAACAGATTCATACATGTGTTATTCCAAAAGTTCATGACTCGGAAACTGATACTTATTTCTTTCTGCAAATTTGTTGTTTGAAATATATGACAATGTTGAACCGGTAAGTTAGCTACTTAAAAGGCAGTTTCTTGGCCTAAAAAATGAGAGCATATCAGGCTGAGAAAAAATGAATTTCATAACGCTGCAAAACCATTTGTAAAGGGTACAGATAAATCTACTCCATGCCTAAAAGAATAGCTATTATCAGGAATAGTAGATTATTAACTTTTCTATATTTTGTAAATCTAGAATCTTCAAAGAATTGAAATAGTCATGAACTTGCTTAAATCAATTACTTAGCTTAATATTTGTTGTTGGTTCCGTTTTATTCATGTAAACTGTTTAGATTTGATTTTTTATTTTTTTTGTCTAATAAGCCAGTTGTTCTTGAGTCATATGATGAAATTGCTTTCACGTAGCATTCAGAGGCCATTGCATATGGCTTAAATTAGGTCAACCATTGCATGAAAGAAAGGAAGATCTAACGATGAATGATTGAGAGACATTTATAATTCTCTCTGAGGGTGCAACAAAGCACCAGCGCTGCAAAGAAAAACTTCCATTTTTTTTTTCTTTTACAAATCTGATTCTGACCATAAAAAGAACTAAGGATATAATGTGTTTCCTAGGTTTTTATTTTTCTTTTTTAATTTTAAAAAAGGAAAAACGCCGTTGCCAGGGATCGCCGTTGGTGTTAAGATTGAATTACAAACTAGAAAGTACCACCCAAAAAAAATGGAATAAAGAAAGATGTTACAAAAAAGAGAAACGAAAAAACACAATTTGGTATTCACAATATTTTCTTCTTTTCAGGTACTTCACTATAACAAATAATGGAAGTTAGTGACCGGAAAACAACTTCTTCGCAGGGAATAGTGATGCCCATGTCGTGATCAAATCCAAATTCTTCTTCAGCGCATTGGAGGAGGCACTGAAACTCAAGGTGATTTAAGAAAGAAATTGGTACAATATATCGAGTTCGGTTCTCTCCCACGTAAACTGCAAAATGTCCTTTAGGTACGTCAATGGGAAGGTGAGCTTCATCATTATAGCATTGCTTCTTACCCAAACTCGAACACCTTTTCATAATTTGCTTCAAAACTGCGGCTTGTGGTAGCTTGTTTGATTTTCTAATGGCCATTTTTATATATTTTCTTGAAGAAATCTAAAGAAACTGGAGAGCTTTAGGAAGAAGAAGAAGAAATACTAATAGTACTTTTTTGTGTTTGAGGGAAAGAGAGGCTACTAAAGAAGTAGTGCTGTTTGGGGTAGAGGGATGTGGAGTGAAATTATAATTTATGGAGGAAAACCACATCTTTTTTAATCCGTTGTGTGATTTCTGTGTCCTGCCACAACAAGAAAATGGAGTAGTTTTCAAGGGATTAGAATCTGTGAAATCTTGTACTAACACAATAAATCACTAAGTTCTGGACTGCTGATGCTGTATCTCATTCTAGATTGTTTTTATCAAACACAACTATTTTGGGTTAAGAGTGGTCATAGGCAAATGGATAATTTCTAAGTGGAGTTAAAAGATTCAGTAAACATGTTCACTAATTACATAGTATTTCTCGATGAATTGAAGGAATTGTACGACTACAACTAGATAAGCACATTATTCCGTAGATTTCCTACTGTCCAATAATATTTCTTTGAGCATTCCATTTATGTTTTTGAAGAAACCAACGTATTTTTAAGCGAGAAAAACAATATTATATCTATACATAGGTATCACTCAAGAATTAGACAACCAACACATTGGTACTTGAATGATACTAATAATATTTTAACCAAAAACAGTTGTTCCAAAGATATGATGTTGTATACAAGAAATTACCAGTCAATTAGCATTATTTGACTTTTTTTTCACTCAATTAAAATTTATCATCGATATCAATGAACGAGTTTGTATTCACAAGGGTAGAGTACAAAAATAATATACTCCCTCCGTTCCCTTTCACTGGTATAATATTCTATAAATAAATTTTCACTTTTACTTGTCACTTTTAACATATCAAGAGAAGACAATTTCTTTTATCCTGTAATACCATCAATATTAATTACTCATTTCAAATCATTTTCTCAATTTACTAAAAATAAGTACTCCCTGAGTTCACTTTTACTTGTCCGATATTCTAAAAATAGATTTTCACTTTTACTTGTCACTTTTAGCATAACAAGAGAAGACAATTTCTTTTTTCCTGTTGTACTCATAATATAATATTAATTGCTCATTTCAAATTATTTTCTCAAATTCATTAAAAATATGCATCAACTAATATGGGTATCATGGTAAATTATGTACTTCATTTATTATTTCTTAAGGGGTGTGCAAAGTACATAGTGGACAAGTAAAAGTAAACGGAGGGAGTATCAATTAATATGGGTATCATGGTAAATTATGCACTTCATTTATTATTTTTTAAAAAGCTTGCAAAATCTATAATGAACAAGTAAAAGTGAACAGGGGGAGTATAAGGTTTGAAGGAAGCAAGGAAAAACGTAACTTTATACTTCTAACACGTAAACAAAAATCTCAAAAATAAAAATTTCCTTATTCTAAAACCCAACTCCATTGACTCCTAGGAGGTTCCCTTGTTGAATATTTTTTGCATGGTCAGTTTTACGATATCTTCACCAAAATATTTGTAGTCTGAGATATCATTTGTAATAAACTTTCCCGTATTTAAGTCATAACAATAGAAAGATTCTTGGTCCTATCTCACAAAGAACAACATAGAATTGTCGGCAAAAGTAGAAAATATCATTAGCCCTTTATGATTCGGTTTAAAGAATGGCAGCTTGATGATCCGATTTCTTTCGGCCCATTTCAACTTTTTGCAATCGTCTAACACCAAGACATGGAGCTCATCATTTACTAGTTGAGCGAATGAGAGTCGGCCCTTCCATTCCAAGAGATTAGTGTTGCTCAACTTTGAGAAGAAACCTCCACCTCTAGGGAAAGTGGTATGACCAATGTAGATCTCATTACCATATCCAAAACATCAACTTCAACGTCAAGATCATCATCCTCCGTTTCAACGTACCAAATGCAATAAGCAACCTCCTTTCTAAAGAAAACCTCAATTCTTTACCTTTTTCGGCCATCACTATTAGAAATTCGGTAAAAACGACCAAAAAAATCGACCAACGTTGGTCGATAATGGCCAATAACCGACCAAAACACGACCATTTACGTGTGGACGGTATTTTAGGGGTCGGAAAGTCATACTAACCAAAGTTGGTCAGAAATTACCGACCAACTTTGGTCGGTCAATTAAATTCAAAAAAAAATTGCAATAAAAACCGAACAACTTTGGTCGGTTTTTTCGAGACCAAAGTTGGTCGGTATTTTAATTATGTAATCAAAAGATTCAACATCTGGGAATCGAACTGGGGTCTGTACTGTGGCAGGATACTATTCTACCACTAGACAATTGGTGCATTTTATTTTAAGACTGTCTTTTATTTGATTTATACTCTTTAATTGTATTTTCGCACGAAAATAGCCGACCAAAGTTGGTCGGTTTTATTAAAAAGTAAAATTACCGACCAAAGTTGGTCATTTTTTTAAATGACTGGCCGAATTAACCGCCTTTGGTCGGTTTTTTTAATATTAATTTTTATTTATTTTAATTGAAAAACCGACCAAAGTTGATCGGTTTCTTGAAAAATAATTTCGCGGGACTCAAAAATAGTTTCCCGCATTTTTGCGCCAAAGAAAACCGACCAAAGTTGGTCGGTTTCATAAAATAAAATTAAAAAATAAAATATTTTTAAAAACCGACCGAAGACCAAAGTTAGTCGGTCGACCTTGGTCGGTTTTTGCCGAATTTCTAGTAGTGCATCTCGTTCACTGTTCAATAAATTAGGTGGTGGTAATTCAATGGCTCGCCAAAAAAAGTAGTTTGATCGCTCCCAATCCCAAGAGTAAGCACTACTAGAAATTCGCTATTTTTCGACTACCAAAATAGTCGGAAAGTAGTCGAAAAAGTACTTATATTGACTACTTTCCGACTGATTTAGAGTAGTCGGAAAAAGGTAGGTCGGAAAAGTTTTTTCGCCAAAAATTAGAAAAGGGAGCTATTTTCCTACTGAAGTAGTCAAAAAATAAAAAAAATTATTATTTATTTTAAAAAATATTTCTGACTACTGTAGTCGGAATATTATATAAATAATAATTATTTATTAGTTATTTTATTTTATTTTCCGACTACAGTAGTCAAAAAATGCATTATTTTGAGCTCATTTGCCAACTACTGTAGTCGAAAAATCATTATGCTGGGCACATTTTTTGACTACAGTAGTCAGAAAACTAGGTTGATTTTTTGGCAGAATACTGCCATTTTATTAGCACACCACATGTCAAATGACCAATACTATAAACAACCAATTCAACAACCTAATTCCAACCAGTGTTTTAAAAGGCGTGGGTGTAAGGCGAGGCGTTTTACATATGCCTCAGCGGGGCGTAAGCCCCATAGGTATTCAATTTTTAATATTTTATTAAATAATATAATGACAGTAAATATTTATAAACAGGTAAAATTGCATAAAAATTGAAGATATATATGTGTGGGGGGTGCTCCATCCCCACAAAAAACTAATCAAAACAATCTATTATACGCTACTTACAAGCACAAGTAATTTGAGTCTAAAAGAATAAAAAAAATTTATATGGAGAAACAAAAAGGATGATTAACCCCCAATTTGAACTTTGAATTTGCTGCTATGAAGGAGAATGTAGTTCTCTTTGTATTTGCAAAAAAAATTAAATATTCGTTGCTTTTGGGAGATATTAACAAACTAGCGGACAAGATAAAAATTGGGAAAGACCATGAATTAGGGCTTAAATAAATAAAAAAGGTTTTGACTTTTAAATTTAATACTTTTGAGTAATTACCAAATTGACTTTTGAGAATTTAGGTATTATATGAAGGACTTATTCGACAAATTTTATTTTAATTTGAAAAAGTCTCTCAGGCTTACTCCTCACTAAAAAAACGTGCCTCGAACGCCCGGGCATACGCCCCGAACGCCCGGGCGTACGCCTCTTGAGACTTTCGCCCTACACCATTGCCCCGGGGCTCGTCCCGAAAACGCCTTTTAAAACAGTGATTCCAACTAAACAATCAACTCAACCAACCAATTTCAACTACACAACCAATTCCAACTAAACAACCTAATAATCAAACCAACCAATTCCAACTTCAACAAACAAACATTCAAATCCCATAATATCAAACCAAAACATTAGTTAAATTCTAAATATTCAATATCAAGTCTAAGTAGCTAATACACATCGACACTAATATAATAAAGTCTAAATATATATATACCACATCATCCAAATCTACCATAAAGGCTAAATATAAAATATAAACTTCCAAGAATAGTAATCAACCATAAATCACTACTACGCATCAGATTCAGTCTCTTCATCATCATAAGAGTGGAGCATGTATTTTTTCATGTATTTATCCATTCTAGCAATGTGAGCTTCGGCTGTTTCATATCGTTTCGACAGCAACTCAATCTGTTTTTGCATTGCTTCCATTTCTTCCTGATTTTGCACAGTAGGAGCATCCGAAACTAATGGCGATGGACGAAAAGAGGAATGTCGTTGTACTCCAAGCCCGTAAACTCTTCCTTTGAATACACCGCCTGCTACATTTGTCCATATTGAAGTCATATCATTGGGTGACGGTTGGATTGGGGTACCATCATCAGAAGTAGGTTGCGTCTCACACCATTCATCCAAGCTTCTATGATATCCATCCTGAAATAAAAGTAATAAGGATTATATAAATAAATTAATATCAAAGTGAAAATAGTCTTAAAGTTATGATCTTACATATTGTTCCGATGCACGTGTCTCAACCCATCCTTCTATGAGCTAGATAGAGAAACCAAAATCTAAGATGTGAAATTTCAAGAACTTTAAACTGAACTATCAATGATTGATGAATCAACTCTAAGATACTACCAACTTTAATGATGTTCAAAAGAAAATTGATGATATTCTGTGCTTTAAATGGTTTAACTGTGAACTACTTATTGAACAACAGTGAACAAAGTTCAATTGTTAGAAGCAAAGATTCTACAAGGAATAAAAATAGTCAAAGAACTTTTTATTTTATATAAAAAAAAAAAGTTATATCAAAGCTAGGAATATTTTTGTGTATGTAAAGTTATATAATAATGTACGTGAATATTCAGAATGTAACAAAGAAGTAATATTTTTGTTATATGTTTAGTAATACAAAATATAAAGTGATTATGAGTGAATAACGAATATTTATCCTCTGTTAAAAAAACGGGGGAAATAAAAACATAACAAAGCGTCAACTACAAGAATATGAGTTGAATCTTTTAGAAGCAGCAACTCCATCAATATTATCACTACTCGTCACACACTTCAACATGGTAGTAGAGACGACAATCGAGGATTCGATAATATTTATGCACAAGTTCAATAAGGCTTCCTTAGTTCACAATATGAAATCATGTGCAAATTATCTTATGTAAGC